TTTAGAATCTTAAAGTATGCAATTTTAGACGATTTTTCGTCCAAACCGGACCTCGATATCTTTCTTTGTTCAAGAGATATCGAGGTTTACAGGTTTTGACTTCCACCCCCCCTAGCTCTCCCCCAAAATTTTTTGGGAGTCTGAAAATTTGGGAAAAGAAGCGCTCAAGTATGAGTAATCAATAGACAAAGTCTGAAGAACTTCCAGAGGGGGGGCGAAAAAAGCCGTTTTTGCATCAAGCTCTTTCGAATGAGATCCTTCCTTCCTTGCTCTAGTCACAAGAACAAGAGGCAAGTGAGAATTGGAATCGATGCGCGATACGTCATTACTAATCTTTGTTTACATTCCAAAGAGCCAAAAACGTGAATTCTCACGGTGAATGAGTGAAAATGTCTGTATGTGTTTCATGTGCGTCTGTGTTAGTGACTACGCGCTCACAGAGGAACAAGTGCGTCTTCATGAGAGCGTTATCAGGCAACGCGCCGCGCCGCGCCGTCGCTAAATAGTCACCAGAGACTCTGCGTGAAACTAAATTCGGCGATAGTACGTTAATATAAAAATTGTACCCCACTTTCTTGAACCTTAGGCGTAGCAATTTATAAAATTTTGGGCATTTTGTCACTTTGGAACGATTTTTCTCGAAAATTTGGCAACGTAGAAAAAAGTTTCACCGAACAGTTTTCATTCAAATATTTTTATGTGTTCTTTTCAAGAATGTATACGGTTCTCAGTTTAAAAAAAGTTTTTTGTGTGTAAAATTGAAAAAAACCCCTAAGAATGGGCCAATAATGGCAACAATGGACTGTAAGGCTCCTTAAAATTTATCGGATTCCTTTTAAACGGTCAGAAATGGTAGGTACGCAAAAAAAAATACGTGAGAGTCATCTATTGGAAGAGTGACAACAGTTGGAAAAGTCGACGGAAATAACTATTTTTCGATGCTAGAATTTTGGGTTTGAGGCGTTGTTGCACCTTTGCATGGACTCCGTTCGGTAAAATATTTGGCATAGAGTCTACCAAGGACTACCCTAGTGGAAGTGAACCTCATGCGACGGGAGGTCTGCAGGTGGTGAAGCATCCGCGGCGGGGACCTAGCTGATGCAACCTCCAGCAACCTCGAGCCAACCACCCGCCGCATGGGGTCCCATGGGGTTGACATCCCGTTCCAGGAAAAGCTGCATAAGGTGACGGGTGGTACCTTCCGCGAAACCCAGTCCCCTCAAGTAGCCACCCGCGGACCTTCCGCAGAGCTCCCGCAAGCCCTAATCACCTCAAGCAAGGGCCAGCAACCCCATGCAGCTCACTAATTACACTGCCTCTGCACACAGTGGGCAGTCCCAGGTCGAAGGAAGGAGGAGTTTAGCTTAAAAATCAAATTTCTTTCTCAAAGAGGAGGAATTTTGGGTGATTAACTTTAACCGTTTAAATTTCGTTTTTTTTTAACTTTGCACGAAATTTGGGGACTTAAAAACGCAATGTTGAACTAATTATGAACTTACCGAGATAATGTTGAGGCAAAGTTAGGGGAAATTGGCTCATTTTGTGGGAAAATAGTATGACCTGTGAACTGGCGTATTTGGGGGTCCGAACAAATTAATTTAAAGTGATTTCTGTGATTTTTACTATAAGTGCGTACAATTTGGTAAATTTTCCTGTTTTATTTTTTCCTCTACGAAAATTTGAACCGGAGTTATGATTTTTTAATAGGTCAAATCTGACCTTTGACCTATCGTAACTCGGTCAAAAATTATGATATTGATCTGCGGTTTGCGGCAAAATTCTTCGTTTTTAATGTTCTTTCCAGTGATGTAGCGCAAGATAGGGGTTTACCATTTGAAAAAAATGTTGGGGTGAGGGAAGGACACAAATTTTGACCCCCCTACCCCCCTCCCCCCTAGAAGATAGAGACATATAGATAGGTAGGTGGTAAGATAGGTGATCCCTTTGAGCTAGAAACATTCCCAATGTTTCGTTTTTCTATCTCTGACCGTTCATAAGTTACCAGGGGGGTACAGACTTTTGGGACACCCTATATATTTATAATACTTATAACACCATACAATACACCAGTGTAATACAATAACACCAAATTGCAATTTTGGAATTGATTAGTTTAAACTTCTAATAAATTAGGTGCCTGACAATAGGAATTTGGTCAAAATTGGAAACCTTGGAATTATTGAAAAAAAAACCAAGATAAAAATTATTCATAGGTATTGAGAAGTTAAAAGTTCAAAATGATAATTAATCGTCTATGGTACTCATTTTTAGCTCTTTTTTTTAGCGTGATATAACTTTTTGATGTTTGGCGTTGTGGGACAGATCACCTATGTTAAAGTCACTTTCACACAAGGTAGGTGCCTACAAGTGAAATCGGAAGATGTGATCTTGTTTTGAGAGATGAAAGTGCTAGGTAATACTTCTACGGTTAAAATTACCTTGAGAGAGGGCAAGTTCCATATGGGGAAGTCCAAATGACTAGTAAGTGAATTATTCCTAAGATTAAGCTCCCGGAGTGATGGCATCCCAGAAAGTGCTTCTTGGCCGATCCGAGTAATTTGATTATCATTCAGCAGGAGTATCTCCAGAGTGGGATGCCCTCGGAGAGTCCCGAACAGAATATCTACAATGCGGTTGTGGCTTAAATCTAGTAGCCTTAGCCTCGGCAGCGCGTCCAAGATAGAGCGTAGAGTAAGTGCGTGCTCTATCTGATTGTACGACAGCCGCATCTCCTCCACGTTGTCATCCGACAGCGGGATGAAGCTCTCGGCGTGAATTATCTGCACCTGATTATGGCTCAAGTCGATGGAGCGCAGTAGCGGCGTCCGGTAGAATGCGCCTCGCTGTACCCCTAAGATTCGGTTCCGTGTCAAGCTAAGATGCCGTAGCGAAGGGATGTCGACGAATGCCCCCTCCTCTACCTGTCGCAAATATATTAAAAAAAATTAAAGAGCAATTGCATGATTAAGGCATAATCTCTCTAATAGTTCCCTCAAGTAGTCAAATTGGCGATTGAGAATCAAGCATTTAAGGTACATCTTCAACATTGTGTAGTGGACGGCGAAATACTACCGAGATCTTGCAGCGGTGTTATAGGTACTGATACGGAGTGGGGTAATTAATCGATAGTCTTTCAAAATTGATCGAAGTCAATCTATAACCATGAACATTAATCTATGAAACTTTAATAATCGAAGGATCGATGAATTGGCGGGCGATCAATCGATTATACATACATTAAGTCGCTTTCACAGCGCCGCCTCGCGCTCTGCGACGCCCAATCTCCATTGCCCCCTATCCTGCCAGAGATCATCAGGCAATTGGCACCTTCTGATCTCCTCCTCCATTCCTTGTCGCCATCCTTTCACAGGACGTCCACGCCGTCGCCTTCCGGGAGGAACCCAACCGAAAACCTGCTCGGGCAACCGATCGTTTGTCGATCAATCGATTATTCTGTGTTAATTTATTACCCTGCACCTTAATTACATCCCGCTCACTGCAGGCCGATCAGCGAAAGAATGTCATCCTCAACCCGAATAAATATACACCGTTTAGCTATCGATTTTAAAACCATTAGGTCCACCACGTTTTTTGACTATTCTGCCGTGATGGCAAAGAGAGCAGTAATTGCAAGCTTGGATGAACCTCGAGGCACATTAAAGCATGTGCTAATCACGGCTCATACACGAATGCGCTTACTTTTCTCTTTGCTATCACGGCAGTATTTACCTACTTCGGCACGCGACTTGTCAAATCGAGAACAATCACTCCAACTAGTTATACAATGTGACACTAATTACTGTACGACACGCCGCCTTCATGATGTCGTAGAGAAGGGATCGAAAACGGTAATTGATATAGAAAGTAAAAACTATGAAAAGGATGATGTTAGCTCGATTGACGAGTTAGTTTGTTGGTGTTTACTTGCAGCAATTGCGGTTTTATTGTTCGCTTGCAGCAATTACAGTGTTCAAGTAGTGATTTTTCTGGTGAGTACTTTTCCCTTTTTTTACTTTCTCGTATCAGAGAAATCAAACGATTTTCCTATCAAGATATCAGCATGGCCCAACTGTTAACGAAGAAATATACTGGGCTCATAAAATTTACGTAATTTCCAATTAAATTTTTTTCTTCCTTAGAAATTTATCAGACATTTTCATGAATAAAAATTAAATATTTTAAAATTGCAACTTTTTATTTTAAATCACAAATTCAAGCCACTAAAAAACTCACATGGTAAACCGAAAGAAAGAAACACAGAACCATTTTTTTCTTCTTCTTTTTTTGCTTTGATTTTGTGAACATAAAATAAGAATAGGTACCTTTCCCCCCTCGGTTTTATGAAATGTTTTATGTACCAGAAAAAAAATAATAGATATAGTAGAACTCATAGGGCTCCTTGTTCTAAAAAATCTAGGATATCATGATAATATTATTCATATACAGGGTGATCCAAAAGTCCCTTCCACCCCCTCTAACTTTTTACCTAATTGAGGTAAAGATTTGAAACTTGAGGGAAATTCCTAGGTCAAAGGGAGCTACTTTTTGGCCCCCCTAAAATTTTCAGGGGGGCCCCCCTTGGGGGAGCAACGGCCCCCAACTTTTGATTTTCAAATGGGAAGACCCCCTTTGTGATAGCTCGTTCGAAAGAGCTTAAAAAAAGAAAACTTTTCGCGCAAATTCGAAGTCAATATCTCAAACCGTTTTGAAATGGCGGCCGGTTAAAGTTCAAATTGGCCAACAATTCACACCGGTTATTTGTCGATGGATTTGCGCGAAAATCCGTATTTAGGGGTATTTTGACACGAGAAAAACGAATTCGACGTTAGATTTTCAAAAAAACCAAAATTTCCAAAATGGCCGCCGGTTAAAGTTTAAACTGGCCGAAAATTGTCACCTCGGTTTTTTCTTGATAGATTTGCCTAAAACTCGGAATTTGAGAGTATTTTGGCATAAGATAAACAAATTTGAACTTAGATTTCTAAAAAAAGCAATTTTTGGTAATTTTGAACTTTAACCGGCGGCCATTTTGGAAATTTCGGTTTTTTTTAAAATCTAACGTCTAATTCGTTTTTCTCGTGTCAAAATACCCCTTCATACCGATTTCCGCGCAAATCCATCGACAAATAACCGGTGTGAATTTTCGGCCATTTTGAACTTTAACTGGCCGCCATTTTGGGACGGTTTGAGATATTGACTTCGGGTTTGCGCGAAAAGTTTTCTTTTTTAATGCTCTTTCGAACGAGCTATCAAAAAGGGGGTCTTCCTATTTGAAAATCAAAAGTTTGGGGCCGTTTCCCCCCCCCCCCAAGGGGGCCCTCTTGAAAATTTTAGGGGGGCCAAAAAGTAGCTCTCTTTGACCTAGGAATATCCCCCAAGTTTCAAATCTTTACCTCAATTAGGTAAAAAGTTAGAGGGGGTGGAAGGGACTTTTGGATCACCCTGTATATAACTTCAAAAGAAGAAAAAAATTGTTTTTTTTCCTAAATGCGATCCATTTTTCTTAATTGTTTAATCCCTCTCAGAAAATCCCATTTTCTTTTCTCATTCTTTAGATAACTTACTATGAGCATTATGTTGATTACCAACAGTGAAGAATCTGAAATTCCCGCCAGGGTATATGAGTTATCCCCTTCACCCCAACCAACCCCGCCAGCCTCCCCGCGAATTTATCCCCGCATCTTACGAAGATGCAGACTATCCAATCCCCCCGTTAACCCAGCAAGCTCCTCCCAAGCCCTAACTTCCATCTCCCGAACCATCCACGTCAGCTTCCTCCGAAGCATCTACGTCAACTTCCCCCGAACCAACCACGTCAGCTTCCCCTTAGGGATACCAACCTCAATTCTCTAAAATCCCAAATTCCTCTTGAAAAAAAACAATTGATTTCATAAAATACAGCATAGGAAGCGAGGAATGAATATTTATTTCAATCTAAATATTTTTGTCCCCAGAGCAACAAAGGAAGCAGGAGGAAAAACTGGATGTCAAAGCTTCTATGAACCTTCAATTTATGGCTTTCTATTCAGCGACTCTGGAGCATATTTTATTCCTTTTCCAATTCCAAATTACCATCCCTGTTAAATTAAAATAGTTTATGCTCATGATGAAAGCGACTACTTTCATAAGCACATATAACTATACGTTTTACAAAGTAAGGAATGGAGAGGAAAGTCTCGATAAATTTCCCGGTATACTTCTGAAAATGAAAGCGCGATTATCCAAGTCCGATTTTTCGCTAATAATTTTCAAATTATACAGGGTGGGCCAGAAGTTCCAGGACGGACGGTCGGCTAACTTTTGAACGGTTCGAGATAGAAAAATGAAACTTTGGGAATGTTCCTATCTCAAAGGGGACCATCTTATGGGGGAGTCAAAATTTTGGTCCCCCTAAGGGAGGGGGCGGGGGGCCCCAACTTTTTTTTTCAAATGACAACCCCTATCTTATGTGATACCTCATTCGAAAGACCAAAAAAAACTAAGAATTTTGGCGCAAACCGCAGATCAGTGTCTTAATTTTTGACCGAGTTATGATACTGTCAAAGGTCAAATTTGACCTATTTTCAAAAAATCACAACTCCGGTTCAAATCATCGTAAAGAAAAAAATAAAACGAGAAAATTTACTAAATTGTGTTCGCTTTTTGTAAAAATTGCAGAAATCACTTCGAACTAATTTTAAGGGGGGGTTCGGACCCCCAAATACGTCAATTCAAAGGTCATTCAATTTTCCCGCGAAATAAGCCAATTTCCCCTAGATTTGCCTCCACATTATCTCAGTATGGTCAAAATCAGTTCAACATTACGTTGGGCAAGTCCCCAAATTTCAGGAAAAGTTAAAAAAAACGCAATTTAAGGTCATTAAATTTGACCGTTTGAATTGGGTTTTTTTTTAACTTTTCCAGAAATTTGGGGACTTGCCCAACGTAATGTTGAACTGATTTTGACCTTACTGAGATAATGTGGAGGCAAATCTACGGGAAATTGGCTTATTTCACGGGAAAATTGAATGACCTTTGAATTGACGTATTTGGGGGTCCGAACCCCCCTCCCCTTAAAATTAGTTCGAAGTGATTTCTGCAATTTTTACAAAAAGCGAACACAATTTAGTAAATTTTCTCGTTTTATTTTCTTCTTTACGATAATTTGAACCGGAGTTGTGATTTTTTGAAAATAGGTCAAATTTGACCTTTGACAGTATCATAACTCGGTCAAAAATGAAGACACTGATCTGCGGTTTGCGCCAAAATTGGCGCAAACCAATTTGGTCTTTCGACCAAAACTTCTTTTTTTTTGGTCTTTCGAATGAGGTATCACATAAGATAGGGGTTGCCATTTGAAAAAAAAAGTTGGGGGCCCCCCGCCCCCTCCCTTAGGAGGGACCAAAATTTTGACTCCCCCAAAAGATGGTCCCCTTTGAGATAGGAACATTCCCAAAGTTTCATTTTTCTATCTCGAACCGTTCAAAAGTTAGCCGACCGTCCTGGAACTTCTGGCCCACCCTGTATAAAGATTTAGATGAAGAAATAGGGTTAACCATTTAAAGTGAAAATAGGTTTTTAAATTTTCTTGCTATGGAATTGATAACTTTGCAAGACAACAATCCCAACATTCGGCAATTTTTCACATTGGAAAAATTCCCTGATCTTGAATTGCATTTTAATGTATTTCAAATCAGTACTTAATACTTATGCAAAATTAAATTTACAACTCAGTAAATTGAAGCAGGAACTACATCCATTCTCTTTTGCGTTTAATTAATAAGAATTGTCTGTAAAGTCCCCCCTATACATCAATAGTAGGTAATCAAAATAAAAGAAAAGGAAATAAATAAATGACCCTTTACTTATCCTCATGAAAAATATTTATGGATCTCTTTTAAATCAATTCTTTTTTTCTTTCTTTCTTTTTTTTTGCCGCAAATAGGAAGAAATGGTCCCTAAGTTGTCAATCCTTTCCGTTAGCAAAATAACTCTGGAACAAATCATCATCCTTTTCCAAATTGCCACTCCTCTAATCTTTAAATATACCCTCTTGCTCCGTAGTGTTGAACTAATAGGGTTACTAATATTAATTAATTAATCAAAGTAATAATGAATTTATAAATTCGTTTCTGCGAGAGAAAGTTTATCTTCTTAAATCAGTGTTGTGTGCCGATCAAAGACATAAAGACGGAGTGCTAAAAGCAAAAAATGAAGCTTCTTTTCAACCACCTCTACTATTTTAGAACTAAGGTTCAGTGATGCCTTAGCAGAAGCAATAACAGTCATAACCTATGCGGAATTTGATGATATCATAGAAATATAGATAAGGGTCGCAACGTTATTGCCGACTAGGTATAGTGCTTGAATTTTGTACAAGAAAACCAGAAAGAAAAGAAAATGAACTCCCTCGAGGTTTCAACAGCTCTCCAATCGTTAGGTACCTATTAAATACTTTGGTTTGTGTTGCAAATAGATTGCCGAACGCGATCTCTACTCCATGTGGTATTGTGGTAAATACAGACCCTGATTCAAAACCTGGTACTCATTGGGTAGCCATTTATGTCGATAGGTTCAGGAACTGTGAACATTTTGGCAGTTATGGACTGCCACCATTTGTAAACCACCATAAGAAATGTTTAGTAATTTGATTTGCTTATCAAGATCTATCCAGTCTAGTGTATTTATATTATATTTAAGTTTTAGAATGTAGAGGCCCTCTCCATTGAGGATCGGCCAGGAATTTTATTCAATAAATTGTCATCTTAACATCAAACCACATTCTTATTCTTTACAAACCAAACCATATCATTATTTTCCCTAAACAATATTAAATTTTCAAAAGAAGAAGAGAATTTAACTTGTGCACCGGATTAATTTTACTTTAACTGTACTCTTTAAAAGAAAACGAATAATTATGATCTTTTATTTCTAAAAATTTATCCGGTCCTAATTGTTTTATCACTCTACATCACTTCGCAAATCTTTCAACTCTCCATATACCTACATCATAAAATAAGTTTAAATGAGATGATTGCATATATATTTACTATTTATTTATCAATATTTTCCTTCTTTCCCCCCTTTTATTTCAAAATTTAAGCAGCAGAACCGCTCCCATCATTTTTTACCGTTGGTTACTCTGGGATCAAACTTCTAGAGATGATGAAACCACAAAGATTAGATTGAACAATTATTTTAAAAATGACCCATGTAGAAGTTTTATGAATCATTCTATTGTGTTACGGACAATGGGAGTAAGTGCATTTTAGGATGAACTTCGGAACACATAAGATCATGTGCCAACCATGGTTTATACAAAATAGGTACGCTTACTGCTCTCTTCCATATCACGGCAGCATTAATAACCCTATGCTGGCTGATGGCAGTGAGCAAAATCGCTCAGGATATTTAACGGAGGGTAATCGATTGATCGCTAGCCGATTCATCGATCCTTCGATTAGGTATTAAAGTCTCATAGATTAATGTTCATGGTTATAGATTGACTTCGATCAATTTTGAAAGACTATCGATTAATTACCCTTCTCCGTATCGATACCTATAACACCGCTGGAAGATGTCGTTAGTATTTTGTAGTCCACTACACAATGTTGAAGATGTACCCTAAATGCTTGATTCTCAACCGCCAATTTAACTACTCCCTCATTTTGACGCAAAATGGATGATGAAACATTTCAGTGGAGGGTCCTCGGGCATATAACAACGGTCGCCGCTATGCATTACATAGTCAGTCAGAATAATTTTTAACAGTACGTGCTAATTATCAAAAGTACCTAATTTACCACGAAAACTTTTTGATCTAATTTAATCAAAAAGCTTTTGATTTTTTGTTTTTACATGGCGTATCGACATATAAACGACGCCGTTGAAGGTTTACTATTATACTTCATTTTTTATTTGGAACTCAGTCAAAATAATTTATGGAACACTTTTTTGTTTTCTGTTAGGAAAACATTCTGTACTTATGAATATTTGAAGCTACGAGGTTGGCTTGTTTCTCTTTGCAAAAATAAAATAGTATAAGCGTAAAGTTTGAAAAAAACCATGTGGAGATTCGTATTTTAGCTATGGATATGTTTGTTGGATGTGCTGACCTGTGTAATCTCGTTTTCGTCCAGGCGGATTGTGGAGAGAACAGGAAGGTCGCGGACGGCGGCGCCGACGGTGCGGGCGCTGGCGAAGCGGTTGCCGACGAGAGCCAATTCTACGAGGGCCGGGAGCCGGGCGAAAGCGCGCGGGTGAAGCCACGAGAGCCCGCAGCGGGTCATGTTGATGAGCGTCAGCCGCGGAAGGTCCGATAAGAGCCCCTGGTCCAGCCGCGAGATTTTCGGGCTCGAAACCACGTGGATCTGCTCTAAGTACGGCAAGCTGATGAACAGCTGACTCGATATCTCTGTCACCTCCGGAGCCTGCTCACATTCAGAAGCATATCAGTATCCTCAGTTTTACTTACCAGGAATCCAGCCATATCCAGATGATCTATAGGGTGCATGACACAAACATCTTAGGACACCCCTGTAACTTTTGAACACATTGAGAGCAGACTTAAAATTTTGACAATGCGTCAGACAGTGTGTCAAAGTAAACTACTTTTCTGGGCACCCCCTGAGGGGGCCACGGACGCTAACTTTTTTTCAACTGGCAACCCCTATCTTGTAATACATTGTCTGATACATAATATAAAAAGACAACTTTTGGCGCAAATTTCAGGTCCACTTGTCAATTTTTGACAAGATGGCGGCCAAAAAAACGGCGGAAAACCTGCAGTTCTGAAGAGAAACCAGATACTCCTGGGTTATTTGACACGAACAAGACGAATTTAACGTAAGACCATGAATGTTTTGAAGCCTCTCCAAGATGATAGCCGAACAGAATGGTGGAAACTCCGTTTTTTAAGGTTTTAAAGGGTTTTTGCTGATAAACATGTTTGCAAGTCGGGATCCCAGGGTAATTTGACACGACAAAGACGAATTTGACATCAGGCCATCAAAATTTTGAGGCCCTCCTAAGATGGAGGCCGATTACAATATCTTGAACCTCGCGTATTGAAGGAGTTTCTGCTCCTAAACATAGCTGGAAGGCCGTGTCCCGGGATTTTTCGACACGCCAAAGACAAACTTGACATCATGTCGTCAAAATGTTGATGCTCTTTCAAGATGGCGACCCTATATAAACGGACTTCCAAGCATGTTTCATGACCTCTAGGCATATTTTTATGAGCATATTCTTGCCAGCAACGCGGATTTGGCGCTAGATGTTCAAACAATGGTACAAACCTAGCACGTACCTTGCAGATTGATGGAAAATTTTTGTTTTTTCTCCTAGGTCACCCTCACTTCGCTTAGTAATGCCGAAACTCTCCGCTCGGCAGCTCTAAAAATCGAAATTTCACCGTTTTTTAAACTTTTAAAGAACTTTTTGAGCAACCTATAATGGTTGTAAAAATCCGAAAATATGTGAAATGCAAGTCTATACCATCAGTATGGAAAGGAAATGTCAGAAAACTCCTAGGTCTTTTATTTTCTGCCAAGCTATGCCCACAATGGTGGAAACCCCGTCAAAAATAGCTCAATTTTGACCGTTTTTTCGCGTTCGAAAAATTATTGGACACCCTGTAATAACAATGAAGGTCCGAAAAATTGTGAAAAGTAAGTTCATACCGTCTGTTTGAAATAAAAATTTTTACTTGGTTCCTACGTCTTATATTCTTCGTCCTGCGATACCCGAAATGGCAGCGAACACGTCAAAAATACCTCAAATTGGCCGTTTTGGAGAATTTTTTTGAACACCTTGTAGGGGCAATGGAGGTCCAAGAATTTGTGCAAAGTAAGTTCATACACTCCGTAAGGAATAAAAAAATCTACTTGGTTCCTTTGTCTTACAATCCTCGTTGTGCGGTGCCCGCAATCACTTCGAAAACGTCAAAATTACCATTCTTCGGCCGTTTCTTCCATAGCGAAATTTATTATGCACCCTGTAATGACAAGGGAAGTTCGAAAATTGGTGAAAAGCAAGTTCATACCCACCAGTAAGGAAGGGCAAATTCAACAGATCCATAGATGTTTGATTGTTCGTCGCACGGTGTCTTCAGATACACAAAAATCGTGAAAAATACCTCATTTTGACCCGTCTTTCACTATCAAAATTTAATAGACACCCTGTAATGGCAGTGGAGGTCGGAAACTTTGCTGAAAGTAAGTTCATTCCATCTTCATGCAATAAAAATTTTTACTTCGTTCCTATGTTATGCATTCCTCTTTGTGCGGTGCCTGCAATCGCATCGGAAACGTCAAATATACCTGAATTCGGCCAATTTTTTTTCCGAATTACCTATGTTTGCAGACACCCTGTACAGACCGCGGTGGTCTGAAACTATGTAAGAAGTTAGTGTTGTAAGAAAGAAACTGATAAATTTAGGTATTTTTTAAGTTTTCGCCTCACTCTAGGGCGTCTGGCGACAACAATAAAAAATGTGAGGGTCTTTGAAAAATTACCGTTCCGTTCTGATGTACAACGTATGTATATTTGCTTGGCACTTATAAGTGTCGCTGGTGTCATAACAGGGTGCCGAAAAATTTCACACACGAAAAATTGGCCGAATTCAGGTACGTATATTTGACGTTTCCGATGCGATTGCAGGCACCGCACAAAGAGGAATGCATGACATTGGAACGAAGTAAAATTTTTTATTGCATGAAGATAAATGAACTTACTTTCAGCAAAGTTTCCGACCTCCACTGTCATTTGAGGCTAATTTGAGGTATTTTTGACGTGTTCGCTGCCATTTCGGGTATCGCAGGACGAAGAATATAAGACGTAGGAACCAAGTAAAAATTTTTATTTCAAACAGACGGTATGAACTTACTTTTCACAATTTTTCGGACCTTCATTGTTATTACAGGGTGTCCAATAATTTTTCGAACGCGAAAAAACGGTCAAAATTGAGCTATTTTTGACGGGGTTTCCACCATTGTGGGCATAGCTTGGCAGAAAATAAAAGACCTAGGAGTTTTCTGACATTTCCTTTCCATACTGATGGTATAGACTTGCATTTCACATATTTTCGGATTTTTACAACCATTATAGGTTGCTCAAAAAGTTCTTTAAAAGTTTAAAAAACGGTGAAATTTCAATTTTTAGAGCTGCCGAGCGGAGAGTTTCGGCATTACTGCGAAGAGAGGGTGACCTAGGAGAAAAAACAAAAATTTTCCATCAATCTGCAAGGTACGTGCTAGGTTTGTACCATTGTTTGAACATCTAGCGTCAAATCCGTGTTTCTGGCAAAAATATCAAAAATACAAGGCGAAACTGCCAAAAACACTGGAAAAATCTCGATGTTTAAGTACTAAGGCTCTGTGCGCGCTGGGTTAAAAAATTTTTTTTCTCGAAATCCTCTTGGCTACCGCGTTTTTTTATCACATAGAACCATTTAAGGACTTCCATTACTTGGTTTTGTCGATTTAAAAAAAAAGTCCCATCCTAAGGGACCCCCGTATGAAATTTCAGGGTCATACGACCTACCGTTTCCGAGATCCACTGATGCGTGAGTCAGTCAATGTAAAGTCTCTTTTATTACTATAGATTTGTTTATAAATTTACCTTTACAAACCTTTGTAAGGACTCTTCCACTTACTTTAATGTGTTCTTTTTTTGTGCTATTGATTGAACAGTTGACATTAAAGTTAAAAGCTCAAAATTTTTTCCCAGTGACTCGTTACCTTTTTTAAAAAGACAATCTGTGTACCAAGTTTCCTCCCAGGCATCAAACGTAAAGTTTTCAGCAATATTTCAACAGGTGTCCCAAGATGGACGCCAGGCACCTATGCCCCTAACTTGGGACACCAATAAAATGATGGGGAAAAATAGGAAAAAAACCAGAAAAAAAAACCAAGTAGACAGTCAGAATTAGCTTTTTAAGATCTTTTATTATTTGCACTAGACTGCAGGTGAAAATATAAATATGCCGCCGAAATATTCATCAAAACGTGTTCAAAACGTCCGAAGTTGTGCACGGTAATCAGGGTCATTTTCATCAAAACTTGTGATAAGACCCTCAGGTTTGTCCGTATCTTCTGAGTTTTCAAGCAAAATTTGAATGTCAATTCTCATTTAGTGTCATAATCCGAGACATAAAAATATCTAGCTATAGCATCAGGGTATACGTCAGAATGAGCCGAAATATCATTCGACATCAAGTTGGTATGCAGCTAAAAGCTAATTATTTTTTCATAATAAGCTGTCCCGACAAGTTATTGCAAAGAGCCTTTTCTATTCTCAAATCATTCATTAGATTACTACCTATTAAGAACCAGGGTTGGAGCGATTTCTGTCGAAAACCAATAAAAATATTATTGACGCTTACGTCGAATTGATGATTAACAAACTATACCTAAAGCTTATTCAATAAGAACACGAGTACTTACATCAAAAATAACATATTTTTTACATTTAGATTACATTTTATCTCTAAAACACTGTTTTTTTTTATTTATTCAGTGCACCTTGTAGAGCTGACGGGCAAATTTGCGATGAAAATCGCCAGCCAAATGCAGGTTATGCAACCGGCGATGATCTTGCGCTGCACGCGGATAGTTGCATACCCTACATCTTGCAGGAGCACTTTGGTGAAGGGTAGTGTACCCCTGAAGGTTTATGAACTAACTAAAGATAGTAAAACTTGCGAACTCCATGTATTTTAAATATGCATGGGTCTAAAAAGGCCCCGGTTAGGAATTTGAGGGGTGTTATGTTCAATAAATGAATGAACGCACTTTGAGGAACTAGCTATTTATTCATAGTTACTAATTAACAAGACTTAATTAGGAACACGCCATTCCGGCTGCAGCAGCTGATAACAGATAACCGATAAGTAACCTTGCACGTCGCGCATGCGCATTATCCTTTCAGGGGTGGCGTTACAGTGATTGCCAACCTGACTACACGAATACTAGATTTCACTATTACAACAACTCCTTTTTTTTACACACAGTTTAAACATACAATGGGCCTGTTGCAAACTTTTGCTAGAGCAAAAATAAGAGTTGTTTCTTATAGGTAATGCCTCAAAAATCACGATGAGCGCATCGGCAAAATCTGAAATGCACTCATAACTTCACAATCTGCGTAAGAAATTTGCGTTTTTTTAAGCTTCCCGCTTCAAAAACGATACTACGGCATAGGTGAACATTTTGTTAGAGGAGTCGCTCCATCGTCGGCGATATTCATCATGGCCGACGCTTGCACGCAGTTCCGCGCGTAATTCAAGGAGAGTTCAAGGTCAATCAATTCGGGCGTGGAAAATATGAACGTTAACACACCGATTGTTATCTGGTCTAATCCAGTTCAGGTGTTATCTCGTCCCATCAAACGTGTTTTGGCGGATTGGCGTCGGCTATGATGATTATTGCCG